TTTGGCCATCTGATGAGAAGAGAAGACTCCCTGGAAAAGACCCTGATGTTAGGAAAGTGTGAAGGCAAGAGGAGAAGGGGATGACAGATAACAAGATGGATGGACAGTGTCATTGAAGCTACCAACATGAATTTGACCCAACTTCGGGAAGCAGTGGAAGACAGGAACGCCTGGCGTGCTCTGGTCCATGGGGTCACGAAGAGTTGGACATGACTTAATGTTTAAACAACAAAAACAATGGGAGCAGACCTTCTGAGATGAATAAGATCCCACTGTCATAACTTTAGCTTGAGAAAACACTAACTGGGCAGAACACGGCCAAAGAGCCCGAAAAACCCACAACAACCATTCTCTGAAGTCTTTGGCACAAGGGTCGGAAAGGGGCCTGGGATGAAATCTTCCTGTGCTGGGCTTCTTGCCCATGACATGAGTGATTTTCCTCTCCTCACCTTCTTTTATTTTTTGATGGGTTTTCTTCCAGTTGTGAAAAGTTGAAAGCCCTCTCCTAAAGCTTAGCGAAGCTTTAATCTAAAATATGTTGGTTGTTTTTTTTCCCCACCCTTTTTCCTTTGGCCCTGCTCACCACTGGAATGCAGCAATTCATGCTTGTTCTAAATCCTTCAGATATGAAGTGCAGTGTAGTGGACAAAGTAACATATCAGACTCAGCGGCCTGGGTTCAAATTCCCACTCAGCTGTGGAACTAAGGGTGTGGAACTGGTAAAGCCACTCCTCAAATATCGTGCTTAACCCGAAAGCCCCATTGTTACATACTGTCAAGTTGCCTCTGACGTATGAAGACCCATGGAATGAGTGATCTCTAAAATACTTTTACAGCTGCTTTAAGTCAGTTCTGACTTGATGGCACATAACTACTAAATCCTTCAAATTGCAAGTTTCCACCACATTTCTTGTTACTCCTTTCTGAGGTAAACAAACTGTAAGTTTCCTTCAAAGATGCAAGAAATCACTGGCATCAGACTCTCCTTGCGATTTCCCCACGTCCTGATTTCAAGCCTCCCTATAAGTTGTTTGAATCCCATATATTATGCAACAGATTTATATACAGAGACAAAAGCAGACAACGACCAAAGGTTTTTATCCTCTCCCTCTTCCCTCAGTTGTTATCTACCTATAGCTGGAATAGGCTTATTTGGGAATTTGACACAGCCTTTCGTTTCAGCGGGGGATCTTCCCCATCCTTATCCTGGAAACTGCATGCTATTCACCATTTTTTTCTCTCCCTTCAAACCTTTTCCCTTCTGTGCCAACAAGTGCGTCCTCGGTAGCGAGTGAAAAGGAGAGGCAGCAGAGGGGAACAGGCTTCCCTTGGGGAATGCTGTTCAATCTTTAACTTGCTTTCCCTTTTTTTCCTGCTCAGAGCAAGAGAAACAGGTAGCAGCCTTGTAAAAAAAAAAGAAAGAAAAAGGAGCAGGTGAGATCTTTTCCCAAAAGGCAAAGGTGAAGCGATAACTCTCCTAATCCCGTAAGATAACGCCGTTCGGATGAGGAGCCCGCTCCCTGCCTTGCCGGCCCACGTGGGACGTTTACTCGGAAGTAAATTCCGCCCGATTCGATCAGGCTTACTCCGGAGTAAGCGGGCACAGGTTGGGCCAAGCCAGCAGCGCCTCTTACCGGTGGGACGGCTTGGCACATTCAAGTCTCGCCTCCAGTTGTCGGTGCCAACCACCTCTCTCCTCTTCCTCTCCTCCCCCGCCCATCCGTTCCATTGATGGGTCGCCTCGCTTCCCTTCAGTACTCCCGATCACGTGCAGAAAGCCTGATAAGCTTCGGCCGGTGACGTCACGAGCCCCGATCAGCCAATGGCGGCTTCTGTTTATGTTGGGCCCTCGTTTCGTATTTAGAAGCGAGAGGCCTACCTGGCCTGGTCTTTTTGGTGGCTGGCGGCGGCGGCGGCAAGCTCCCGCGCCTGGAGGTGGTGGTGTCGGTGTCGTCGTTGCTGAGGCACGCAGGAGGAAGAGGGATTTTTTCTTGCTCGAGCTCACAGGAGGGCTAAGCAGCAGCGGGTCCCTCCCGGACTGTGTTCCCTCCATCCGGAGACAAACGGTAGCCCGGCCGGTCTAGTCTGCTTCTCTTTCCTCGGTTTAGGAAGAAAGAAAGAAAGAAAAAAAGCCTGAGTGCGTCTTTTCTTCACTGTTTGTCGGGGACAAGAATGAGAGACGATGAACCAAAGGGACACTTTTGTGCATCTGTTTGCTGGGGGGTAGGTCGATTCCCTTTCTTGCTCCCCCACCTTTATTTATATTTTTCCCATTTGATTAATATCCCACCTTTCATCCAGAACTGGGGTGCCAGGTGGATCCCCCTTCCTTCAAATACTATAGGACAAAATCCTGTTACTGGGTGCAGTCAATGGCACTAGACTAAGGCCTTTAAATCAACGCAGTTTGGTGAGTCAACTTCTCTGAAAGTTCAGGCGATTCAAATGGGCCTACTCTAAGGGCTGCTTATTATGCTAAGTCAGTTGCAGTTAGAATAGGCCCATTTAAATCAACAGAATTTAAGGGGAATTCACCAAATCCCATTGATTTAGTGGGCCTGTTCTAGTGGGATTTACTATGTTAAGCAACAGGGTTTTGACTATTGTGTCTTTGTCTCTGGATAGAAATACGTTGCATACTATAGGGGATTCAGACACTTGTAGGGAAATAGGACTGAATTTTAGTCCTATTGCTGAAACACTCCCACTTCAATTTTCCTGTTTGTTTTTCCCTCAGGGCTCTTTAAGCATGCTCAGTTTAAAGAGTTGCATAGCTAAAAGAAAAAAAAGTGGTTCTTTTATTTCTATGAATATATAACCTCTGGGTACTGAGAGGATCCCCCAAGTAGTGATAACTTGTTTTCTTTGGGTGGGGCATGGCAGAGTTTCAAACTGGTAGTGCTTAAAAGCACCCAAGTTCACTATTAGGTGGACTGAAAATTGTATGCATGTTAAATACAGTAGTAGGATTGTGCAGAAGCTCCAGATTTGGCCTGTGCCTTTTTGGTGCAAATGGGAAAGCTGGGTGGGATGGTGCAGGCAGGACAGGAGTTGGACACTCTTATTTTTATTTTTATTTTTCAAATTATCAAGAGAAAGCCCACATAGACTTCCCATGTTGGCAGTAAGCGAAAGAATTTGAAACAACAGTGGCCACATCTGTCTTGATTCCTTCTTCAAACAGCTGAGCAGGGAGCCTGTTTTTCTACATTTTCCATTTTCTATACCCTCATCCTTCCTGCTCCTTGCATCTGAAATTAACCACAAAACTTCAGTGTAATCAGTGATTTTGAATCAGGAAAAGCAAAGATGATTTGTTTCTAAGGAAAAGCTTATGCTTTCTTTGTCCTCCTGAGTTATGATTAAGTGCTTTACCTGGACATCGATAGTATTCATTGAGATACCTGTTTTTTACAGGAATGTAGTAATCTGATTGTCTTAAGCAGCACATTAATTAATTGCCCAAGTTTTTTAAATATAAGATAGGATGATATTAATTTTCCCTCATAATAAAATTAATTAATTTTAATTTTCTATCATAATAAAAATGATGTACTTTTAAAATGGTCTTGGTCATTTGAAACTCCTGGTTCTAATTGGAAAAATAAAAACATTCAAATGGCCAAAAGACCACTGCTTCAAGCTTCTTTTTATTTGTACCTTCATTATGTGTGAAATATTGCTGCTGCATTTTACACTTCCACCACAGTTGTGTACCACTCATAACCTGACAGGCTCATGCCCCTTTCTGAAATGTCACTACTTTAATACTCCTATTTCTGGTCTTGTTGTGCTTTAAGAAAACCAATCCGAATATGCTCCCCCTCCGAAATTGTTTTTCTCTGAAGGCGAAAAACAGCTTCCCTTCTCCTCATATTTTAGTGTACCCTTTCCTTGTAGAGAAGGCAAAGAGCTAATGGGGTGGGGAGAAGGTCAGGGCATGTAGCATGGCTTCCCTGTCAAGCTAGTAATTTTCCTCTTTTTCTCTTGTGTGTGAAAGTGTTTTGGGCTAGAATCCTCTGTCTGCTTCAAGGTTGCATGAAATTGGTCAAAGTTCATATTATGCAGAAAGAATCATTACAGGCCTTGTAGCTTGTTCTCAGAGTAGTAAGTGAAGGCTTGTCCTCAGTCCTTTAGTTGGCACTGCTGGAAAATATGCGTGTTGTCACATGCAAAGCAGGATGAAAATAATTTGAGGTCATCATTCCTAACTTTTTGTTACCTAGCTGCTGAGGAATGCTTGTTGGCTTCTGCCTTCTAACAGCATTTTTCTGTGACATAGTAAGGGATATTTTGTTATGCTTTTGTTATGAGTCAAAATAACTGTATTTGGAAGGGAAACCAAAGATTGCTAGTGCTACTATAATAGTGAAAGCAGTGTTTCCTTAGTATTTATCTTGTTTGTGAGCTAGTAAAAGTCGTTGTCTCTTGTCCTGCTTTTGACTTCAGTAGTTTTGCTCCTGTGATAATTCTGTTACTATCCAAATCATATGTGCTTAAATAATAAAGTCATTGGATGCTTATATATCATTATTCTGAAACATTTGAGCATGCTCAATCTTCAGGAAGATTCTGCTCACTTATAGGACTGATTAGCTGAAGCTTATTTGCTGGTTTCTGAGCAAGACTGTACTTTTTAAAATCTGTGAAACTAACATTAAAAATCCACTGAAAAATGGAAGATCAGTTGCAACTGTTGATTCTAGACTAAGACAATGAGAGTATGAGGAAAGAATTGAATTTATTGTATTCTCGAAGAAACAGAGGACAGACAGTGTTCTGACTCCTGTCCTCTGAAGATGGCGGCCACAAAGACTGGCGAAATATTAGGAAGAACAACCTTCAGAACACCGCCAAAGAGCCCGAAAAACCCACAGCAACCAACTGAATTTATTGTTACAAGTGGATTCTTGATGAAATCATTACTTATTAATGCAGCTGTGTTGTTACTGTTCAAATGCTCAGAGAAATGAGTTTTAGAACTATTGTTAGTAACAGTAAAACCAAGAGTTCTTTAAAAATTGAGGAAAATAGCTAGGGAGGTCTGTTGGATGATAGTGGGCCTTAACAATAAGGAGATTTCAGAAAAGCTGATTACAGTCTTTGTCTGTATTCACTGCAGAAGATATATCGGTGGTCCAATAGGTGCTTTCCCCCTCATACTGTACTTCCAAAACGGGGTTAATAAAGTCTTCTGGAGAAAATTAACAAATAGGGCCTGAGAGAAGATACTCTGTTCTCTGTTACTTGAACAGTAACAACAGTATATATTGGATGAATACAGTGGTGCCTCGCTTAATGAGTGCACCGTTTAACGAAAAATCTGTATAGCGATCCCTTTTTGGGGATTGCTATACGGATCAGCCCCAATCGCCGCACTCGCTTTGCGACGATTGG